CTTCTCGTCTGAGCATGTCAACACACCTGCTCCTGTAGCGTCTTTCTCCGACGAGTCCTGTATCAATATGTGATCGTTCTTATCAGCCATATTAATGTTGTCATCGTTAGCACCGTTCGAAGAATCTGTTGTTGTTGTTGTAGTTTGGTCTTGACGCCGCTGCTCGTTCCCATTTTCAGCATCAGCATTCGCATCCGCATCCGCGATGCTCTCTTCGAGATCGCGTTTCTGGTGGTTTAACCGGCGGTGCCAGCGACGGAACACATAGACCATGAAATGGGCGACGCAGACCTGCTCCGTCGTGTAAAGCAGGACGGGGACGGACGTCTGGGCCTTGGTGAAGAGGTCGACAGGCGTCCACATGGCGTAGAGCAGGGGGATTCCCAATCCGGTGGTCTTGGCCGGTCCGCAGAAGCAGATCGCGATCGTTTCCTCGGGCGACACAGGGCGGAAGACCCGTCTGGTCCATGGATGGAAATGTAGGAATCGTGGAGGCCGAGAGATCACGAAGCACACGGCGGTGAGGAAGAGGTAGAGAGCTATGTTGAACAGGACGATGAAGATGATGCTCTGCGTGGTGAGAGACTCGAGAGCGTGGGTTTCAAAGGCAGATGAAAATGTCGTCCTGTATAATCCATCAACCGTTAGTCATGATAATTTTTTTTTGCCCGTTTGGCTTCTTAGTCTCACTCACCAGATCAACAGCAAGAGACAGACTGTGCTCAACTTCCCGACGTAGAACTTCTGCATCACCCATACCGTCTGATCGGACCAGGTCCAGCGGATCAGCTGTCCGACAATCAGCGGCAGGAGAGCGCTGAGACCGAGCTGTTTGAAGACATCTCTGTACATACTGCTGAGATCGCCACCTTCCTGCCGCCATGGGTCGAATTCATGCGTCTTGGGGAGCAAGGTCACCGTCCAGCCAGCGGTGACAAACGGGCCGAGGAAATTCGCGACGAGCACCTCGACCAGAGCGGCGGCATCGTCGCCTCCAGCAGCCCGCGTCATGACGACGTTTGATGCGATCGTCGTCGGGATGCAGGCCGTGAGAATATAGCCCGCCAACACGGCTCGAGTGATATGGCCGGCGGGGTCACCAGCGAGGATGATGTGGACGAGCGCGACCATCAGGGCGGGGACGAAGATAAATGATGTGACCTGGACGAGGACGTGGAGTCGCCAGTTGAACATGTGGGTGACCAGTTTCTGCCGGGGGATGCTGAGCCCGGAGATCAGGAAGATGACGGCCACGGCACCGTACAGAACACTGTACTCAGACCGGATGATGCCTCCGTGGCTCGCGACGTTCGGGAACAAGTATGCCAGCAGGCACATAATTCCCATTCCGACCAGGAGCCATTGGCTCAGGATGAACAGGAGAATGGTCTTGAAGATTTTTCGTTTGCGATGACTCCGGCCGTCACCGCCATGGCCCATCTTGAAAAAGATAAACGGGCGGAGCGGTATGAGATTGATGCTCAAGGCGTTTCATTCCTTTCTTTTATCGGAGGAGCAGAGCAAGGTCAGATCGGCGTCCTCCGCCGGGCCCTTCATGCTGATGGTGACACAGTCCGCCCGAATGGTGCGGGCGTGCTCGAGTTATATATTTCGTCGAGCTGATCGGAGAACGTGCCGGCGATAAGATGGCTGCTGCTAGTGATCGCCATGTGGATCGCGCTTGTTTATTCTGCCGCGGGTCTGTACTCCGGACTATTCCTATTCCTCTTAGTATAGTAGGCCGGCCAGGGCTTAGGGCCTGGGGCTAGGGCTGCTGCCACCTCAAGCGTGATGCATCTCTGGACTCCTGGAGGCTTGTGTATTCTTAGAAGCCTGGTGTAGCAGAGACATTACCGAAAGAAGAAAGAAAAGGATAGCCTGCACATTGTCCTTCACAGATAGTAGAGTAGATTTTTTTTAAAAAAAAAAGGAGTCTTAAAGCTAATAGTAAAGTGGTCGACTTCTCATTGTCAGGCCTGTCGCAGTACAAGGTTGTACCTTGACGGGTGGGGAGCATGGATGGTCCATCGTCGGATCACATGGTTGATCCATAGTCATCACGTGTAAGAATCATCCATATCATGTACAGTACAGTACGTAGTTGGAGTATCCTTTATGGTTCCTCCATCAAGCTTCGCACGATAGTCAATGGTATTGCCATTTAGTCGCTACAGGGCCTATCAGGCCCTGGCATCAAACGCTACTAAGAATGATAAAAGAAGTCGAGGTGAAAGCAAGTCTGATTGTGATAATGATGACAACTATCTGGGTTGTGCCTGAGGGTGATATAGTAAGGGTAGTAGTCTACATAGATGCATATGATAGATGCTGCCCCTCAAAATAGTCCTGTCCTTAGGACTGTTAATATCAAAAATTGGGACTAAGTATATGCCATGACATAAATTTACAGTTGAGTACATGCAAATTGAGGAAATACATGCAATTAAAGAGTATCTGAGAGGTTAGAGATACACCGAAAAGCAAGGTTAATACAGAGAAGTGAAATAGAAAATAAGGAGAAGCGAAGATGGTTTAGCAAGTGAATGGTCTCGGATCCTTGTAGAATTCCTATTTTTTCTCTCTCTCTGTCTTTTCCTCAACAGACCCCATTGACCAGCACCTTTAAACCATTGCCCAATTTATCATCATATGGAGCAGCCAATCTTTCGAGCGTCTGTCAGAAAATGAACAGAACATGCAATAGGAGTCTGGTTCTTGCCTTGAGACGACTTATGATATGGCCTTCAGTTAGCTCGACTTCAAAGCTCAAGCAGGAAACTGGAAAGAAACACACATGGAAAAAGGTATGGAGGAAAGAATATAAAAATACAGACCTCTGGCTAGTGGATAACAGCGTCACGATCCTTGACACAAAGTCACGAGTCTTTCTTCCAAGTCTGTCTTCTCTTGTCAATGCCAGGGGCAATATCTCTGTGTTTTCTTCTCTTAATTCAATACGGACGCTCCCTATCCCCCGGTTGTTTCTGAGAAAGGGTATTTCGCTTTATTCCCCCGTTCGTCAGAAGACAAGAGAAGGCAGATCGATCGATCTAGTCAACCTCTCTGGGAAATCTTAGCGGCTGATCGCTGACGACGCAAGGACTTCATGCGTTCGACCAAGAAACAGAAACGTTCTACCAGAATTATTTGACGAATAACCAAGGGGGCCTGCTCTTCCTGGATGGCACGGCCTTCTTCTTCGATAGAGGAAGGGTCATGGAGTTCGAGAAGGCGCTGAATTCGGTGAGACTGGATAGATTCTATTTTCTGAGATAGTGATAAGGATTCTTGGCCGAGGGCGATCAGTTCTTCTTCGATCAATGATAGTTTCTTGCTGAGGTCGGTCGGCTTTCTGCGTCTGACTGTTGTTGTGCATCTATGTAAGACCAGACCACTGATGTCAGTTCGCCACAACTCCAATAGAAGGCGAGAACCTGGGAGCGGGTACCTTCAGCCCCATTTTTGTTCGTTCAGATGTGGGTAATGGAAGAATGAAGTTTGCTCTGGGTGTAAGGCTGTGAGACGAGACGCGCAACGTCGAACCGGTAGGTTTTCTTTTTCCCCTCTCCTTTTTGTTGACGTGGAAGATGCTCTGGGCTGGATTCACCGCTCTTTGCATGACCCTACTAGCCTCGCTTATCTTAGTGTACAAATGGCAGAAGTGCATCCATGTCGAGTGCTGCTGGACAAAGCAACTGTTCCTAGAGCCGGAATTACCGACGAGGAAATTAGACCTTCCTAGTACGGAGTATACTATTGTGTTTGGCTGTACTCATTTCGTCGATGGAGCATCTTCTCTATTAGAGAGACACGGCAATGCACTACAGAAACAACCTAGTGAATACCGTATCAAACCGACGTCCGAAATCATGTTCCTATAATAATACCCACATAGCTAGCTGCATAACCGCCGAAAGACCTCCTGCACGACCGACCGCTAAGACTACAGCTTGCTCCCCCGGAACATCCGTCCCAGCCAGCGAGTTAGAATCTCATTCACACCCTGCGGATTCTCCCACAACGCCCAGTGCGACGTATTCACCTGCTCGACTGTCAACTGCGGGATGAAGGCGTTCATTCCTTTGCCTAGATGTGGTGGGAGTGCCGAGTCTCTGAGGGCCTGGATGAAGAGGACGGGGACATCGATGGTCGGGCGGTCGACGAGGGCGAGTTCGTCGTTGTAGTTGACTTTGCGGGTACGGTACCAGTTGACTGCATGGAGTGTCAGGGTGGATGATACAGAGATATGCAGGCAGAGGAGAAATGAAGTGAAATGAAATGCAGTTCACATAAAGGAGAATATTTGCTTGCATAGATACCGAATGGGGGGGAGAGCGACTTACGAGGTCCATGAATACCATGGCGCGCGAATTCATCTGCATAATAAGCGATTTCCTGATGAAAGCACCAATAGTCAGTTCCCCAAACACCACCTAAAGAATGGACAAATCAACGAAATCATGATTGATTGTTTCGTACCTCCTTACTCAATAACTTCGACGGTTTCAACCCCTTCAAGTTCTCGAGAAGAACGCCCTTCGAGACGTCGAATCCGGGCTTACCGTCGTCAGTCCTGCCCCCGTACAGACCGATGAGGAACTGTCGAATCTCATCCTTCGTCGAGATTGCCTTCTCCAGCTCTCCGCTCTTTAACTGGAGCTGATAGGCAAAGCTCGGGATGTGAGTCTTGACGAGCTCTTCGAGAGGGATGTAGACCTTGCTGGGCGGAAAGTAGGGCACGCAGACGGTGATGACGTGGGAGACCAGGTCGGGGTGCCAGAGGGCAACACGGTAGGTTAGTGCCGCACCCCTTTGAATGAGAAGTGCTGTCAGCCCAATCGCTATCAAAGAGAGCAGTCCTGGATGATACATACCAATCATGTCCACAAACGATGATCTTCGACGCCCCCAACTGAGTCGCCAACTCCTTGATATCATCTGCGCAGCGCTTGTGGCTGTACGACTCATAGTCGTCCGGCGCATCCTACTTACACTGTTAGCACATCTCTCATCAGAGAAAGAACAGCAGCCAGAAGAAATGAAGAATAATCACGGAACGTACCGTCCTCCCATATCCCAAACAATCCGGCGCAACGACCCGGAAACCCAACTTTATCAGCAGAGGGATCTGATACCGCCATCCCATCGACAGGTCGGGAAATCCATGGAGCTACATGTCTCATCAATCATTAACAAAGAAGACCACTATCGCTATATGACAGAGTAACAAAAGGGGAAAAAACAAACCAGAAAAATAGTCGCCTTGTACCGTCCTGATTCGGGTTGACCGAAGAGGTAACCTACATAATCATCGTATGTTAGTAGGTATATGCATAATTAGTATCTAGCATAACAATGTCCTCACCATAAGTCCTCCCATTGACCTGGGCAGAGCGGTACTGAATCCGCGAATCGCTGCGGACGTCAATCTTGTCGACTTCGGCAGAAGCCATGATAGCTAACTATTGCAAGCAATTGTTAATTGGTGCTGGTTTGAAATAAAATAATAGCAAAAAAAATAGGGACGACGAGGGATATTTGGAGCTCAGGTCTGTCTGCCGTCAGGCCTTACATTATTTGATAGCTGTGTAACGATATATATTCGGACGAGACACAAGTATTACTCTGTCCGATAAGGGCCAATCAATTATGGAATCAATGGCACTCTTTCGTTCCTTTTTTTTAACTCACGAATTCTTCTCTCCCCGTACCTAGATAATTATCTAGGCAGGACGGAGGACCTCTTGACACAAGGTCGCATTGCTAAGCTAGATGGAATCCAGATCTGGCAAACATCCGAGGCACATATCACGTGAGGTACGTGTAACTACGGAGTAATGTAGGCAGCGGGCTACGGAGAACAAGTCTACAAGTCTGTCCAACAGTACAAAGGGTAATGTACAAAACGGTTAGGTATCTGCTTTTATTAGTCCACAAGTTCATCTGATAGATTCCTCCTGGAAGACGCCCGCAATGAAAGCAATCAGTTGGCTGGACCCCGCATAGTTACCTGGGACCTAAGTACGTTCTTTTCATCATCATCCGGCAAATTAACGCCAGAGCTAGCCAAGACCAAGAGAAGACTGAAAAAGGATCCGAGAGTAGGTGGGAATTATGCCATTAGTAGATGACTGTATCTTCTTTGTCCTCCTCCACCACTTCGTCCTCGTGTCCTCTAGATGCCTCAGGCTGGGAAGAGTCGACGGGGCCGGCATTGTCATGATCATTAGTAGATGTAGATGTAGGATCAGTCCTAGGAGCTTCAGCGCCTTTGTCGTGTTGGTCAGTAGCACCCACCGTGTCCGCTGTCTCGGAAACTGTTCCATTTGCCTCCTTCGATTCACCCTGGCCTTGCGCCGGCTCAGTATCTTCATTGCCGTTCAGATCCTGTTGTTCTGTTATTTTAGACTCCTCTTCTTCGGGTGGATAGCGTCGTTCAAATTCCGCTTCCTCTTTGGCGATGATCCTTTCTGCCTCCTCGATCTGATCTTGAATAATATCTTCTTCCTCGGGTCGCAGCAGCCACGGTTTATAGTACTGTAGATGGACGATCTGTCAGCCACTAACAAGGTCAGTCATTTCCGCAAGATAAAGAACATACCAGCACTGGCTCCGTTTTTGTCTTCAGAAATTGCGCCATAGCCAACATATTCGCGTGCCGAGTTTTCATCTACAAAAGTTACCGTCAGTTCAATTCTGCCGCATACACGTGGTATTTCGGGGGGGAAAAACGTACCGCTTCCCTTTCCAAGGTCCTTTGTTGCCTCTTCCGCTGCGCAATCAGCTCTTCGCGCTTCTTCCGCTGCATTTCGCCGTACTCTTCATCCTGCATCTTCAACTTGGCCTGTTGCCGCTTCTCGATGTCCGCGCGTCGCTTCTGTGCTGCTGTAGATGAGCTCTGTGACAATGTTCCCAGCAGCGCGCCAAACAGCCGCTGGCCACGCCTGCGCTCCTCGGCAGCGTCATCGCCCCCGCGTCTTCCTGTCCTCCGTTCTGCCGCCGGCGCCGATGTCGAAGTCGAAGTCTCAGGCGCGGGTGGTGGTGATCGCCTCGTATCCTGCGGTGATGCGACGCGCTCATCCTGAGTGGCACTGAGTCGGCGCCTTTTGCTATCAGTGTCAGAGACAGATGATTTCCTCCGCTTCAATCCCCCTTCTGGTGAAGCAAGCAACGGCTCTGGTTCCGGCTCAGGCACCGATACTGCGGAGGCTAGAGATCTGTAATATCAATTTCGTAAGCTCATGACATCAGGTAAAAGTGACAAAGAAAAGTCAGTATGTTTGGACTCACCCCTCGGCCATGGCTGCAGGCTAGCTCAAGCATACAAAACTAAAGCGCGAACGAGGCAACGGACGGAGTAAAAGGATGAAGTTCCACTCTATCAAATCAAAAAAGCCATGGAGGTGCCGGAAGCTCTCCGCGACTCGAGAGACTGTCGGGCGGGTGGCGCACGGGCCACAGCGCGGGCTTAGTGATACAAACTCCAAAAAGGAAACCTTTCTTTCCAAGCTCTTCGATCGCCTTTCTTCCCTGGATATATAAATCCCCGTTCATATCGCGACAACTTGCCTTCTAGTCATCCGCTGTCATTGACACAGTGATCTGCACGTCGATTACGTCTCCTGTTAGTTCTCTGTTGCACGTCACTTTCTCGACAAGTCGTCTTATAAAGCACACCGCGAGCAAACATGTCGCGCCATCACCCCGATCTCGTTATGTGTCGCAAGCAGCCCGGCATCTCAATCGGCCGGCTCTGCGACAAATGTGACGGCAAGTGCCCCGTGTGCGACTCCTACGTGCGTCCTACGACCCTCGTGCGCATCTGCGACGAGTGCTCGTTCGGCAACTACCAGAACAAGTGCATCGTCTGCGGTGGCGAGGGCATCAGCGACGCTTTCTACTGCTTCGAGTGCACGCGGCTCGAAAAGGATCGTGACGGATGCCCGAAGATTATCAACCTAGGAAGTTCGAGGACCGATCTATTCTACCAGAAAAAGAATTTCCGAAATCATTAGTCTGCGCTATCATCACTGCTCCCGTGCCTCATTTGTGAGAGCAGGCCAATCATCTACGGATTCACTCAAGCTCATTGAAACGCCCTAAACTTGGAAGCTGTCGCCTGCAGGAAGACTAAAACAAGGAGGTTCGGGATATCTATCCACAACTTTGAAGCCAAAGCATATCCACCACCACGTCGACTTCACCGTCCCGGACGCTTGGGTCGGGCAAACCCTCGCTTAGGACCTTCGTCCTGCGGAGGATATACCTCTTCGTGCAGTCTCGCCTGGGTGATTTCGTCTGGCGACGATGCTTCAATCTAAAGTCGAGCGGTGTCAGATGCTTGTCCACATTTCCTCGACCTTGGGAGAGGAACTCGCCTTCTTCGAAACTTTCAGTCCTTCGGTCTCCCCAATGTCGATAGCAATTCTCCGCGTGCTAGCATACAACATGCGCTCTTTAATCGATGAGTTCGGCGGGCATGTGTAGATGAAGACGACCGTGTCGGACCCTGGGTAGTGGTAGAAGGTGTATCGTGGCGAGGATTCTGAGATCTTGGATGCCACGGAACTTGCAGGGACATTGGACTCTGCACTGGCAAGCTTGATGGTTTCTGATGGGACATCGATAGCCTGTACATATCGCAGAGATGTTAGCAGGTGAATAGGAATATAGTTTCTCCCTGCCCAGAGATGGAAGATTCCTCAAAACCTACCAGTTGTACTAGCCCTCCGTCTTGTAGCGCCCGCAACGCTTCTCTCGCGTCGTCATCCACGGGCATTTTGAACCCCATGCCGCCGCCCGTCGCTGTTCCACTGACCCTTCCCAGCGTTCCCCCAATGCCAACATCCCTACCGGCCGTCCCACTCCTTGCCTCCTCCTCCGCTCGTTTCACGGCCTCCAGCTCTCTCTCCTTCTCATCCATGAGGTCCTCGCGTCTGAACCCACTGTTGCCCTTGCCATCGAGGTTGCGCTCCCTCCACGCCTCCTCGCTCAGGACCTCCTCCTCTTCCGTCGCGAAGATGGTGGACGCAAACTTCTCGGTGCCCAGTTCCCGGGCCAGCGTCGCCCGCGTCGATGCGAAGAGGGTCTTGGCGCGAACAGGCGCGTTGGAGGGGATGTAGGTCAATGCGAGGAGTGACGATCCATAGCGGAGGATCAGGTAAAGGGGGGTCTTTGGTTGCAGGACCGAGGAGAGTTGAGGGAGCGAAGCGTAGAAGGAGGCATCCGCACCCGCACCCGCACTAGGGGACGTTGAGAACGGGATCGATGAGAGCGGCGTCAGGCTCTCCGAAGCGATGGTGACCGGGAGAGCAAAGAGCGATTGGTCCGATGTAAAGGCATTGAAAGCATCGTGTAGCTCAGAGGAGACTGGTTTTCGGTGTTTGGTTTTAATCAGCCGCTACTACATGTGGTCATTGTTTGCGGGGTAGGTTATAAAACGAGCCCAGGTGCATGTATACAGACCGTGCTATGGCAATCTGTAAAGAAGCGCTCAATGACTCACCTGATATTCCAGACTGCATCTTGAGGTGTCAAAGATTCGTATCTTGTTTGTGTATGTGGAGTTGTTGAGTTGTTGATGGTGTTGACGGGAGTTCTGTAGGCAGCTGGATGGCGCCCCGCAATCCTGTTACAGGAGTTGTCGTTGCTGGAGCTGCATCTATCGTCTACCTGGCAGATCTATGTATGGGTCCAGATAGTTCACTCACGTCCGATGAAGCCAAAGAGTTAGAATTTACAGTTAGAATTAGATTAACAGCGAGCTCTTCTACAAACACACTTAAACAGCAGCTTCCGCTGTGCTCTTGTCTTGCTATTGCTATTTTGGGATTCTGACTAAGCAGCCATCAAGTTAACTAACTAGTTAATAACTACTTGGACAGTCTCCGAACCTTGGGAGCCGAAGAGGCTCAACCGCTTGACATGGATGGATGAGGATCAACACAGAGCAAGCAAAGCATGTCAAAAATGGGAAAATGGCAGACACACACACACAGGCAGATACCTTGAAGCGATATTTCAGAACTATGTACTGTATATACAAGCAGGCATATTTAAACTCTATAGCTAGAGTCTCATCGCCACCCCGACTATCCATGCACCAGCCCGACATATATTTACAGTGCCCCAGTATAAACCCGCCAGGTATTGTATGTTTGCAATGCAACGAAGACGCCACCATGCTTGTGTGGTATCATGTTTTTAAGAAAAAAAAAGGATTCAACCAGGGACAATGTGCAAGGATGTTTTGCGTACGTAATAAAAAATTTTTTTCCTTTTCTTTTTTCTCGTTTTTTACTCTTCGTATTTACCCCCCGCAAAAGCCCAGTTGGACTTCTCGATCCTCTCTTTCAGGAACTCGTACACGGTGAAGGTGACGGCTTGACCAGGGGCCACTCTCATCACACGGGGAGTAATTCCCTTGTAGAAAGCCCGGGCACCCTCCTGTTTGAACATGTCCCTTGCGATGGTCGTGATCCGCGACATGGCGCTTTGGCCGGGCTCAGCAGGGGTTCTCTGCAACCGCGTCTTGATCGTGTCGATGGGCGCGTTCGAGAATGGACCCATAGCACCCGAGATAAGGCCGATGATGGTGGTCTGGTACGAAGGAAGCTCCTTGTCTTTGTACTCGGGCTGTATTCTCTGGAGGAATGCCTTCAGCTCCGTGTATGTGGTGAAGTTCGCGGCTTGGTTTGTTCCCTGCCGCAGCGCTGTCAGGGAGACACCACGGTAGAGTGCACCTATGCCCTCCTCCCGGACAACGGTGAACAGAGCGTGGGGGGCACTTCGGTATTTGGGGCGGTCGAGCGGATCAGAAAGACTGTGATGCTGGGCTTGTAATCGGATTTTGACGACCTCCATCGGGTTGACGACGGCGACAGCTTCGGTAATACCAGCCGCAAGACCAGCTAAAGGCGAACAAATACAACTGTCAGCGTTCCACGTAGATAATAAGGCTCACGAGGGATGATCCCCGTACCAATGAAGGTTCCCTTGCGCGAAATCTGCCCAGTCTCCTTGCTTGCCAACAACGTCTTGTAGTACTCGTAGGAGGTGAAACGGATGGCCATCTTGGGAATGATTCCGCCCAGGACGGCACCGAGACCCTTGTACAGACCCAATGCGGTCTCCTTCTGTACGATTTCCACGCCGGTGGCCAAGAAACCACGCGGTTTCACCTGGGTCAAGGCGTCAGATCGCATGATGAATTTTGAATCGATTTCCATGGCAACTTACTCCTGGCGCCTTTGCTCTCTTCGACAGTTGCATTCGCACTTTGATAGTATCTGTGGCAGTCATTAGCATGTCAACCTGTATGGATTCGAGGCCTGCACTGGGCGTACCTAATGGATGGCAAACGAGGGCTTCCATCATACCAGCGCCGCCACCAGCTATCGTTCTGTCAGCATCCAGAGGCATATTTCCGGTGGGAAGGAGGGCTGTTTACCGATCAAGTTGGTGGCAGCGGACGCTGACTTTTTCTTGCCATTGGGTTCTTGTACAGTTTTTGCAGACATGATGAAGAAGCTTCAGGCGTAGTAAATCTGCCCTATGTACTTAAAAGTCTCTCTGGACTATGCAACTCCGAGAACAGGACGATTTATTAGCTTTTTCTTTCAACTTCCGATTTTCTGCTAGCCACACGCGAGAAGCTTCTTTCTTTCAGGACAGAAGCAGTGAGACCAAGGCCAATGCCACACGGTTGCAATGGCCAGCGACCTCACGGATATGGAGCAGTACTTTACGGAAGAGTCTAAACCCCGGGGGTATGGAGGAAAGGCACCGGATTTAAAGAATCGGACGTCACTAGACGGCGAGTGAGTCAATTCACTAGTGAACTTCACTTGGGGATTCTCCAGCCCTTGCTTAAACTGTAGACACTGGATCTTTTTTCACCTTGGTTAAGGTGGCGGGTCCAGAACCAGCGAGTAGAAGCAATGACGGGGAAGCGGAGAAAGCTGCCTGGACGAGCGGAAGCTCGACAGAGTCACCGAACACGCACGCAATCCAGAAGAGCAGAAAAATAATGATAATAATAACGAGAGAGGAATTGCTCACGACATATGGAGAAACTCGATTCCGCGAGATCTGGTTTATATTATTATGTACTGCATCTTTGGAACCTAAGGCGCTCCTGCCCGGTCCGGTTATAACCTCATATCATAGCTCTGGAGAGCGAATTCCCGAGGCTCCGGGAAAAGCTCCATCCAGATGCTGCTGCCCACTTGGTCCTCTCGCGGAATGCAAAGGCATCATTCTACAGGGCATGATGCCCTCAGCAGACAGCAAAAGCCAACCAGGACCAGTCATCGATCACAACTTTCACATGCTTCAGCGACGTCTTGCCGTTCCGGGAGGAGTAGCAAGAGCTAACTCGCAGGTCTGACGTCGATGATCAAGATTATCATCACAAGCTTGACCACAGCGCTTCATCCGAGCTATTAGTCAGATGCGCCAGACATCTGGGTCGTTATCCCGATGTCGTGCAGTGAGAGTCTGTCCGGTTGCGGGAAAAGCCGGGGATGCGGAACCGAGGCTTTTCCACCCCTTTCCTTCCGGATGTCGGCTCGGCACCATTATTATGACCTTGACAAGAGACACGCCTGACTCACTGTCTCTCACAAGACCACTGGCCTTTGACGGTGGTGAAAGCAAAGCAGAATTCAGGAGCAGAATTGAAACGCCGTCTTGCATCTTGCGACGGAGAAGTTTCCCACACTGCGGGGAAGAACCTACTTGATCCTACGCAGCTAGCTTATCGGCACGTGCCCACCCATCACATACGAGTATGCCAACAAATGCCACAAAATATAGAAACAAGATCTAGTGGTATTGGGCGAGGGATAAAATGTTGGAAATGATAGTAAATTGGAAGAAATTCCAACATTCAAGAAATTGAGTGGACGTGGCGTTCAAACGCATAAATTCAGTATCAAACCTTATCAGTGGTCTAAAAAATATATTATGGGAAAGCACCAGGACTCCGGGTTAAACAATCAACCTACGTTGGTTCTCATTTATACTGTAGGTCAGAATGCAGACTTTTCTCTTATTTTTTTTAGCTACCACCTTTTCTTTTCAAGTACTGTTGTCCTCACTTGTTCATCTCACTCTAGACAACTTAAATTATCGGACCTCTAGCTTCTGTGGGTACAGTACAAGGTAGGAAAGTATTGCTCAAACGACAAATCATTTTTTACAGAAACAGATAAAAATCAGGGGCAAATAAAAATCAACTGAGGGATCCTAGTCAAGAAGCTTTGTCTGGATCCGAAATCCAGCCTTCTCCAATCGATCAAGATAATTCTGTCCCAGAGTGGCTGGGGTCACGATGCCCCCGCCAGAGACCTGTCTGACTTCGTTTTCGTGTTCTAAGATCACTCTCGCGGCCTCGCTCACCGTTACGCCCGTCAGCGCGTACATGCTGCCCTGGAAAGAAAGACTGCCGATAGCGCGCGAGGGTCTTCCCTCGCCCTTCTGATCAACCGTCGCCACGGTACGGAACTCGACCATGTCGTTGCGACTCTCTTCCTTCGTTGGGCCCTGGCCAGGCGCGTAGACAAATTGCCTAACGATCCAGCGGACCGGTGGCAGAAGAAGCAGCGCAATTCCGATAGTCAAGGCATAGTGGAACGCAACGCCGATGAAGGCGTTTCGCACATGGAGGAAGTGACGGTAGGAGAACGAGGGTCCGTAGAAGTCAGGCAGCAAAGTGCTGCTCCGGTTTACGATCGTCTCATCGTTGTGGCCACTGGGAGACGTGGTCAGTGTTCCCAGATCAGATACTGAGCGCACGCCCAAGATCAGTTCCGCAAGGGACTTCCTGGGAATGACTCTGGTGGGAGGAGAAGGCGAAGCGGCCAGCGCATAGGGATCTGCTAATTTCGCCAGGTCGGAGAGCTTGACTGTCTCGATGGTAGTGAGCATCGTGTTCAGCGTTCCTCCGCTAGCCCCGGCAGCTCTGCCAAAGTCAAGTTAGGATCCACAGTGTCATACGCTTCTGGGTTTTATTTTCATACTTGATGTCGTAAATCGAACCAACGACCTCCGCTGGATTGGCTGACAGCTTTGTACGAATGAGGTTGACCACCGCCCAGGCCAAAATGTCCGGCGGGGCACTTTCAAGTCCAACTGACGGGATAATCTGAGATAGATATCAATGACACAATGTCCACATCTTTGCAGCTGACGGGAATGCCTACGACTGCTCCATTTGATTTGGCGGTTTCATGACATTTTTCAATTATCTGTTTGATCCATGGCGTCTCTCCGGTCCTTGGAGGAGATTAGCATGGTACGGGCATGGAATGACTCTGGGGTACCAACACATCAACATAATGAGTTCCATTTTTCGCACAAGCTTCGACTACTGGAGTGGAATACAGATGGTACGGTCCGACGCAGTTTATAACGACACGAGTCCGCCGGACAAGAGAATCCATCACTTCGCTGTTCAGCTGATCAGTGATGATCTGATCTGCCAGCACTGTTAGTTCTTCAGATAAATACGTGTTCAACTGGAAATTCACTATTCACCAGGTTCAGCTCGATCCGGATTTAAACTCTTGAGTTCCGCTGCTACGGCTTGTATCTTCGTGGCAGATCGACCTACAAGAGCCCATTTCAAGTTCGTGGGGAAGTGTCGGACGATGTGTTCAGCAGTTAGTTTTCCTGTATATCCAGTCGGGCCCAGAAGAACCAAGTCAAATTCCTTGTCTGCAGCCATTGTTTCTAGGTAATATGAGCCAATACACTGTGTAGAAGGAGACGCAGCAATGACGTTGAATGAACTGAAGGCCAATGTTTACTGGCTGCGAAACTGTCGGTGTATAGTGGATATATCCTTGACAATTCTGCCAAACCAACAAAGAATTGCAAGCAATATCGCGATGCCTAAACGTAAAAGACTCTGCCTTCTTCTCCGGATTGTCACGAAGAAAAAAGGGCTGTTGTTTTTGATTAGAGTTGGCGAACCTATGTCGGTACATCCAACGAACACGTGCAAGGGATAAAGTCACGTGACGTTAATCTAAATTGAAGCCTGAGGCCACATTATTGTCACGTGATTTGCGGCTGGTGCCAAGAGTTTCCCTCGGTGCCCTAAGCGAGCCCACAACGAGACACTCACATCGAGCAGCCTTGCTTCCAAACGTACCGCACTGCATCCTCTCGGCCTCAACACGCAAAGCCAGACAAGATGACGAAGCGCACGAAGAGTAAGTTGGAATCCGCTTGTTGATTATTTTTGGTTTAAATTGAATTTGTGCTAATGGTGCGTTATAGAGGTCGGTGTCACCGGCAAATACGGTACCAGGTATGATGAATTTCCTCGAAACTGCAGAGTCCCGATGATCACGCCGTCGTGACAAACTGAAGATGTGACCCTTCGAATCGCATAATTGACATGTTTTGCTGGATGACAGATATGGTGCCTCCCTGCGTAAGCAGGTGAAGAAGATGGAAATCACCCAGCACGCCCGCTACATTTGCACCTTCTGCGGCAAGAACACCGTCAAGAGGAAGGCTGTCGGTATCTGGGAGTGCAAGGCCTGCCACAAGACCGTTGCCGGTGGTGCCTGGACTATCTCGTAAGTCGACGGAGAAGACTGTGTGGTAGTGAAATTGGAGAAGGGAAATACTGATCGTGGGATTCGCGTTCCTCAGGACTCCGGCTGCCGCTGCCACTCGCTCGACTATCCGCCGTCTGAGAGAACTCGCCGAGTCCTAAATGTGATGATTGGATTTTCTTTTTCTTACGGTGTTTTCTTGCATGGAAAAAAAAAACAGGCAAAAATAAGGGATCTCAGTTCTTTGAGTGGCATGGGCGCTTACTCTGGTTACGGATACCGCTGTTCGATGTCGATAGCTGAAGCTGCTTCATCGATTCAGAGTCGTGATAGACAAATAAATACAAACGCTTCGAGACGATCCTGAATTCTGGTGTTCCCACGTATCGTGCAGAAATGCGGTGGAAAATCTTTTCGATGCAAATATTCGCTATAAAAAAATCAGATCAAAACGCTCGCCCTGTCCAACACGTCACTAAGAGACGATTGGTTGTTACCCGTGGATATTTTTGCCCGCCCGCAGTTGGGATACTAGAGGGCAGCATGTTGTCTGCCTACACACTGGCAGCTGGTATGCCATGTTTGCCATCTCAGCCACTGCTAGATCAGCCATTCAGCAGCATTCTCATCCAATATATCCCAGCAGAGGCAATAGTAGTCCGGATGGACGGTATTCCCTCGTTCCCAGTCTCCGCGGTAGCAGCCCAACAGGCATCTGCAAGTAGCATGATTCCTATAGGCAGCAAAAAGAAGGAGTCACAAGAACTATCTCCAGGCGTGTCGTGAGTTAGAATTTTGAGTCACTATTTAGCGACAAGGTTGCTTGTTGCGACCATCAAGCGCCTTTGAAGCTCCGGTTTCTGCCTGGACAACATTAGAGTCTACAGTACTACAAACTTACTCCGTACTGATCGAACGTAATGAGTCCAACTACGAAATTCTCTTCTAGTTATTCCTATGACTAGAATCTAGTAGTTGAGCACTTCAAGGTAGTCATCTTGTGACTAGAAGCCAGACTCGCCACCACCGCGTAATCTCGTGCTCTCGCACCTTGCTAGGTTAAAAATACAAGGCGGAAAAAAAAATATTCGCACTGGTCATGCAAAGGAGGTATTACTTCTGCTATAATCTCCATAGGACCGGGATTAGGCAGCGAAGATGCTTCCAGAGGGTCACCTGGTGACTACGGAGTAGAAAACAGGTTTGCCACCGCTACGAGACACCAGCTTCCAGGCTCCTACGGAGTACATGATGGCTCTTAAGGTACAACAGCATTGGGAATCTCTAGCAGCGGTTCCACTATCAGTCTACAAGTCATGCCAAACAGCCGAAGTCTGATTTCCCTCAGGCAGCCTAGCTAAGCAAAAACATCGACCGCGAAGCGACAACTACGGCAGAGGACACTCTCTTCTCTACAGGCCATCACAAGGATGACAAACAGTAATGAAAAGGATCCTCTCCCGTCATGACAAAACACAGTTCGTGAACCGCTATGTTCGCGAACGCGTTTTGTCACAACAAATTTGCCGCTTGAGCGACAAACAAAACAGGGCCCAACTCGACCAAGTCATGGGAGTTGGTAATGGATTGGGTATCAAAAATTCCCAGCTGACTCGAAAATCAGCTGGAGCGGTCAAACTAGGTAGTTTTCAACTAGCAAAAACGCTATCTCGGGCGAACCCTCACTGATAAGCGTCTCGCCCCTGCACCGGGATGGGGAGAGAAAGAAAGGAAAAGAAAACAAAAGCGCGGCGGGCAGATGGGGGTTTATATAGACTTGCCAAGACCCACTCTGAGTCACTAGGCAGCTAAGCGAGCTTACCATTCATAGCCATGCAAACTGTTCAAACACTGAAAATGTTGCAAACAGTTGCAAACAGTATTTTCTTGGCTTTGTTTGGTTGACACAGCCACCCAACGGCAAATTCCTACTTTCTGATTGGTTTGCGCGTGTTCCGTAGAAAGCTCCAGATATACGGAGTACACAACGGACGGGAGTCACTACTGACTCACCTCTATGGAGTACCCGTGCTCCCGCCCCAACATCGTCCCGTGTTGGTGCGTTGCACCGTAACGTCCATTTTGACCACAACGTCCAATTTTGAATATTTCATCAATTTTCTACCTCACCACAATGCCAAAATCGCCAGATAAAATCGAATCCCGAATCCAGGAGGCCTTAAAAAAGGCTTCATGTCAAAAAAAGCCAAATATCTCTGCGTTGGCGCGAGAATTCGACGTGCCTCGCAAACGGCTTCACGAACGCTTCAAGGGTCGGCCACCAAGAACCGCCAAAATCCCGCGCAATAAGGTATTAGATGACCAGCAAGAGAAGGCAATTATTCGCTGGATTCGACAGCTTGATTCCCTACATTCGCCGCCTACCCCAAA